AGAGAGAGAGAGAGAGAGAGAGAGAGAGAGAGAGAGAGAGAGAGGGAAGAGAGAGGAAGAGAGAGAGAGAGGGAGAGAGAGAGAGGGAAGGAGAGTACATTCAAACTCAATACAGTAAATTGAAATACATGTATATGTATAAAGCTACATGCATGATGTACATGTATCTATTCTTGCTAACAATAATTATTTATCTATTTATTATTATTATTAATATTATTATTATTATTATTATTATTATTATTATTATTATTATTATTATTATTGTATTATTATCAATATTACAGTCCTTCCTAACCTTCTGTAGATCAATCAGTTCGTCTTCAGTGTCTCCTCCTTCTCCCTCTTCCTCCATTCTCTCCTCCTCCTCTTGGAGTGTTCTCTCGTCATCAATGTCCTCATGAATCAGCATCTCCGCTGAAACTTCATAATCACCATCTTCTGACGCTGGAGGAATAAAGAAATAAATCAAACATAAGAACATGCATACGTACCATAAAAACATGCATACGTACTACATGTACATGTACCATATTTTTGGAAATTTTCGGATAATTTTAATTTTCGGATAATTTTAATTTTCGGATGGACAGAAAAATTCGAAAATAAAAAAGTTAAAATTTTTAACAATTGAATATTAAAATATTTGGGTAAAAAGGAATTCCGGTATCCATGCCATGTGGCTTGACTTTAGCTGTTTTCAGCACTGCTCTGTGCCCTCTACTCCTTCTTTTTCGCTCATACTCACTCTCTCTTGGTCTACCATTGAGCTCCTTGATGTTTCTTCAGAGTCATTCACTGTTACTGCTTAACATTGGAATTAAACTTAATTTCGAAACAAGATGGCTATCCAAAAATTAAAATTCATTGAAAATTAATTATCCAATTTATTTTCTAATTGGAAATTTCCAAAATTACGGTATTATAAAATGTAATAAGAAAGGGAAATTCTCCCTTAGTCATGTGTGGCAAAATGTCATGTACTATAGTACAGGGACTTTGGCCTGATTTTAGAGCAACTTAAAAAATTCGTAAAAAATCCAATTTTGATCGGAACCAGCTCAAACTTGAAATACAACATAAGGAGATGTATATGCATCAGGGAAAATTATAAAAATAGAAAATTCTCTACTTTTCAATTTTGGCTAAATTTGGCCCAAGACCCTGTACTATAGTACAGGGTCTCGGGCCCAATTTTTGAGCAACTTAAAAAATTCATTAAAAAATTCAATTTCGATCAGAATCAGCTTAAACTTTCTACAATATGTACATTTGACACATTAAACTTGCAAAATTATGTTACGTTACAAAAAAGGCAAATTTTGCTGTTAACAGTACAAAAAATTTAACACCAAATATGCAACATTTTCACACCTCAAAAAGTGCAAAATTGGCGTAAAATTATAAAAATGTTATTAAAAAAAACATTTACATCACATCATAAAAATGCATTCACTAAAACTCACTGTTATCCATTGATGTTGATTATAAAATTCTTTAATTATTAATAAATAATATACTTCTGAGAGAAGGAGCTAGAAGTTATAGTATTTTAATATTCACGTTAAATATAAGCTCTCTTTACTTTTGCTTAGAGCCAAAACAGCAACAAAGAGAACGGGAAAGGCGAGAGAAGAGAAAGAGGGAGAGAATTTTGCTCTCTCTCCTCTCTCTTTGAATCCAGAAGATCACGTGATACCAGCCACACCTTCATAGCCTGCAAATCACGTGATCCGCTGCTGATAATAAATTTCCTCACGTTCCTTTTTTTCACTGCATCTTTATTGTCCTTAAAACAAATAACATTTACACTAGGAATCAAAACCAATAAATAACATGGCTTTAAAAACAAATCAGAAAAAGTCTTTTTTTAGTTGGGTTCAATAAGTCACGTGATCATGCCAGCCACACCTCCAAAGCAACTGCTGCAAGATCGGTAAAGGGCTACTATGGCAAGTGGCACTAACTTTTTTAATAAATTTACTGGAGCAATAAAGTAAAAAAGGGACCATATCTCCTCTCTCTAAACCCTCCAACCCTCTCTTTTCATTTATTTTTAAACAGGAAAAAGCTCCTTGGTCACGACCATCTAGACGGACATATCGTAACGGGCCGCACTGCTGTAGATATGCCCGAGCTACCCCTAGCCGCCCTGAATAAGACGGTGGTAGCCTGTCACACAGGACCAGGAAAAGGACTGACTGATATCAGCCAGGAGCCTGATCCACCTACTGATGACGTGTATTTCAATAGAGGTGAGAGAATAAGGGAGAGAGAGGAGGGACGAGAGAGAGAGGGGAGAGAAAGAAGGAGGGATGAAAGAGAGGGAGGGGCGAGAGAGAGAGAGAGAGAGGGGGGAGAGAGAGAAAGAGGGATGAGAGAGAGGGAGGGGCAAGAGAGAGGGAGGGAGGGACGAGAGAGAGAGGGAGGGAGAGAGAGAAAGAGGGATGAGAGAGAGGGAGGGGCAAGAGAGAGGGAGGGAGGGACGAGAGAGAGAGGGAGGGACGAGAGAGAGAGAGGCAAGTGAGAAGCTAAAGGGAGGAAGGAAGAGCCCAAAGGCAAAAGAAGTACAACGTTTGTGCTGTTTGTTGAACGTTAAAACAACATTTAGTTTTAAAATTGATTAACAAATATACATGTAAACACACATATATATATGCAGTATATATATTCCATGTACTTTATGTGGAGTTGAAAATAGAATGTTGTTAAAATGTAAAGTGTCACTGTCAGTCATTATCTAATATCAATAACGATAATGTGATAATAATAATAATAATTAATTAATAATATTCTATTCCTTTCCAATTAGGTTCTGTTATTGCTGGTATATTAGATTGGCACAGGCCCCACCCACAAGCCGACGGCCTTTCTGTTACACTCTACGAAAAACAAGCAAACTCTACCAGTCACCATGGCGACCCGATAGCCGACGCCTTCTTTTTAACGGCTCGTCCTAACAGCTGCATAATGGGGCTCGCTGATGGCATTAATTGGGGATATAAGCCGAGGATAGCAGCTCGCTCCGCCCTACTGGGCGTGGTCAATCACCTCAACGAGAAACTATTCGGATCTCCGTCAAAACCAACTAATACTCAGGATATATTTCACCATATTTTATTATCATTTGACGAAGCCCAGAAACGAATTATAGCTAACGAAGGTACCACGACTACCCTCACTGTGGCAATGATATGCGAGTGCCTACCCAACCACCACATATCGTCACGTTGGGTCCTTTGCTCGGTGTCTGTCGGTGATTCCCCTTGTTTTCTCTATCAACCGGACTATGGATCGGTCCACGAGGTTACCGCTGCTTGGCATGATGGAAAAGGCCGTGATCCTCGTGACTCCGGCGGCTGTTTAGGCACTAATGTTGGGAACGACCCTGATCTAAGTAATCTCATCTGTTGCCTACTCCCAGTGAGAGAGGGCGATTTCATATTTATTACTTCCGACGGCATTTCTGATAATTTTGATCCAGTGATTTTAAAAGAAGCTTCGGCTGGTTCGACAAGCCCGACTCCAACCACCCAGCTTTATTTACCAGGAGCTGAACCTGGGAACTCCTCGCCTACCATGCCTAGTGTCACGCCAAAGCAAAGACAGGAGCTACTGACCGAGAAAATGGCAAGTGTCATAAAAGAGAAACAAAGACGTATTGAGCACATGTTGACGGCTCAGGATCTCGTCGAGGCACTAATCACACACGCTAAGGACGTGACGGAGAAAAAGAGAACATTTCTCGAACACGTTTGGGAGGAGACATCGGACCCGAAACTCTCTCCGAACACAAGACGAACCCAGGAAAGGAAATTATCGCAAAGATCAAAGACGTACTCTGGGAAGCTCGACCACACCTCTATAGTTGCGTATCAGGTCGGTAATTTATCTGTAGCAGAATATAATTCACCGAGAAGGCCTTCGTCCCAAAGTACTGTACAACATTTGGATGATATAACGGATCTGGATGGGGTCCCCAGGGGGCGCCGCCGCGAGATTTTTCAGAGGGGGCTCAGCCAGGGAAGCTTTAATTCTGTGAGATACTAATAATTTAAAGTCTATAGGAATATTAATTATTAATGATAATTATAATAGGAATGTATTATGGTTTTATATTAACATCCAGTACATGAAATACATGTGCTGGATGCATATTTTTGTATCTAAGAAAGTGACTGTGTTAAAAGAATTTTTTCTGATTATTAAATAATAATTTTTAATATAACTCTAACAATAATTAAGAGTTAGTGATTGTGGGTGTGGTCAGTAGGCGTGGCTGATGACTGACTCCACCCATTGGAGGCAAGTATCGATCGAGTTGAGGATCTAAAAATGAAATTATAAAAATCAAAAAATAATTACAAAAATAATTAGTTTACCTTGAGATCTACTGGTAGGCGTGGTCAATTGAAAAGTAGGTGTGGTTAATGGCGAAGCTGTTAGTGAGTGGGCGGAAAGAGGGGAGGGCACTGGTCCTCTTTTAAGAGGAGGACCTTTAAATAAAACCTAACGGGAACATAACAAGTCACTCAGTTAAGATACAGTTACTAGTACATGTATAATCGGCTTTTAAATCCTCATACATCTCAAAAAAATTTGTACCAAAAACAAAGCATGCAAATTCTCTCCTAGCAGCCATAAATTTATTACTGTAACTTGACTTGTAACGTCGAAAATTATTTGTCGGAATCAGCTCAAACTTGATACATAGCATAAGGACATCAATATGTATCAGAAAATGTAATAAAAATTTGGGGTGATTTTGGAGCCATTTTTTGGAAAAAACCATGGGCTATAGCCTTGGGTATTTTTCAGAATTTCGACATTTTCTTAAAATGGCCGTAACTTGAAAAATATTTGCCGGAATCAGCTCAAACTTGGTACACAGCAAAAGGACATCAGTATGTATCAGAAAATGTAATAAAAAATTGGGGTAAATTTTCTTACTTTTTGGTTTATTTTATGTTCCCCTCCACCAGTCACTGAACCACTTGCTGGTGTACTACTAAACTGAGGCGACTACACAATAAATAAATAAATAAATAATAATAATTAAGTAATTAACAATTTTATTATTTATTATTGGCATATGGCTGACTACCTGATAAAATCCAGCACTATATGAATGTACAGGATGTATTGATGACACTCCATCTTGTGGGCGTGGTCCAGCACCACCCACACCAGTAATTGCACGTTCATTAATTTGTTTATTAAGCCAATTAATCACTAATAATTTTAAAAATAGTACAATCAGATGATGATCATGTGACTTACCGTTTTCATTGTTTTTAATCGTCTCCTTAAGCTCCTCCACTTGTTCTTTGAATTGTTTTAGTTCAGTTTCCAATGTGGCTCTCTCACTTTCCTTCATTTTCAATTGTTCGGAGAATCTCTCATTACCTAGCCGAACCTTCTCCAACTCCGCCTCCTAATTAAAAATACATTAACTAATAATAATAATAATAATAATAATAATAATGATGATGATGATGATGATGATAATAATAATAAAGTAATAATAATAATAATAATGATAATAATAATAATAATAATAATAATAATAATAACAAATGAAACTTTGCCTTTAAAAAGTGATGCAACAGACAAAAGCAAAAACAAAACAAAGCGACTAAAAAATAATTAATAATTAATCCATGCCTTTTCATGTATCAATTTCTCCTGTTGATTAGTGACAATGTTGCGTGATTTCATCTAGGAAGATAATAACGTTACTAAATCATTTCTACTTGTATTTCTCATTATTGTATACTTTTAATTTCAAGCTCTTTAGCTCTGCTTGCAACTTTTGTATAATCTCGTTTCCCTAGTTTAAAATAGAAATAACGAACAATTTATAAGACGTAATATTTTTTACATACAACAAATCAATAATATACCTTTATAAGGTGCAAAATTTCATTATTTTCATGCTCATCTTAAATCCACAAAATTTAAACCACCTCTAATGCCATTCTATTGTATGTAGACTATGGCCAGAACAAAAAAATTAGCTCACACGAATATTAACTTTTGAGCACATGTCATTGAAAACACGAAATTTTAAACACTCGAAAATTTGAACGTGTACGGTGATATATTTTTTAAAATAATTATACTTTAGTGACTTCTTTTGCCGTTTGCTTGTAAGTATTATCTAATTTCACTATATGTCTCTGAGCCTGTTCTAACTGATCATCTAATCCTTTCTAAAACAAACAAACAAACAAATAAATAAACAAACAAAATAAATAAACAATTTCTCTCTTGCCTTCTGTTCGTTAGCGACAGCCAATAAATCGTTCGTCTTGTGGACCACCTACACGCAAAAACATGTACATGTACGTTGCTATGACGACACGTACCTGCTCCTTGTCTTTTAGCTCTTGCTCCAGCACAGCAACTCTGGTCTGCAGTTGATTTATATTTTTATTCAATTCGTGTGTATTTGTGTCAAGCGAAGAGTTACTCTTTCTCAATAAAGATAGTTCTTCTCTCATACCCGAAAGCTCCTAAACCATGCCCATAATAAACCACACCCATTGACCCACCCACCTCTTCAGTCCCTTTAAGTTTCGCTTTTAGTTCTCTGATGGCAGCTTCCGATCTGTACTTCCTGTCAGTCAGTTCCTATTAATGGTAACATTGTTCTAATAATAGTAACATTGTTCCATTAATAGTAACATTGTTCTAATAATAACATACAGCGTAACAGTAACATTATCATATTAATAGTAACATTATCCTATACTAAATTTTTTTGCATGACACATTTTTTCTAAAAATAGCAACATAAATAAAATAGCATTACATCATGTTCTAATAATAGTAACGACTAATCACTAGTCCTCACTTTATTTGCTGTGTCTAATTCCTTTAGGGATTCTTCAAGACTAGCAATCTACAGAGACAGTACAGGAAGAAATAGAGGGGGCAGAGAGGGAAAGATAAGAAGAAAGAAGAACTATTAATATACACGTAAGAGAATCAGCAGTACTGTACAAGTACATATATCAATACATTCATTAATATATACATGTACATGTACATGTTCATACATATATACATGCACATACTTTTGTATGTGTAAAACTATACCTTCATACATACATACAGTACATGTACATGTACATGTACATGTATATACAGTACGTACATGTACAAGTACATGTACATGTACACACACACAGAGGATCAAAGGTTTACTCCCTGTCTGTGTGTACAGTAGAATCCTTCAGTCTAGGAGGTATCATTATTTATTGGTTACTTTTGTGTTATAGGATGTCTCCAGCTCTTTCTTCTCTCTCTCATGCTTCTCCTGAGCTTGAACCATATTCTAGAAATAAACAAAAAATGATATTAAATATAATACTAACAAAATATTAAATAATGATAATAAAATGATATTAAATAATTATAATAACGATATTACCGTATAGCACTTTATTTTGGAGGAGTGAAACTTTCACTGTTTTTGCGGGTTGAAATGCAACCGTGAAATTAAAGATACGCTAAATATTGAATTGCCATTAAAGGCGTGGCACTAACATTGCAAGTTCGCAAAAGTTATTTCAGAGAAAATTGCAGTTTTTATCAATCAGCAATATTATAGCTACTCAAAATTAAAGTGCTATAATTATGGTAAAAAGTTACATGTATAATAATGATAATAATAAATATTTGTAATAAAAATATATTAAATAATCATAATAATTATTATAATAATGTTATTAAATTTGGTTTTTTCTCACTTCAATTGCTTTCTCTTTAGTGCTAGTCAGAGCTGCCGTGTGCTCATTCACTAGCGACGAAGTACGAGCCGACCAATCAGATTTGAGCTTTTCCAGTTCTTGCGTCCGATGTTTTAGCACCTGTAACAATCGTTAAGTGGGTGGAGCTTCATTGATAACTATTATCGTACCTCTTCTGAATGGGCTAGTTGTGAGGTGAGATCTGATTTAGTTACTTTTAACTGTATAGTTAAATCAAGGACTTGATCCTATAGTTAATAATAAAATTAAAAAAAAAAAATAATAATAATAATAATAATAACCAACAATGGTAATTTTTTTGTTTTGTTTTGTTTCACTTCTTTCCTTATAATAATAATAATAATAATAATAATAATAATAATAATAACCAATAATATAATAATAATAATGAATAATAACAAGAGTCATGTACATGGTCAGGGTTCTGCCTAGAAATAAATTAGAGGTGGTTGGAGACTAATATTATTTCTTTTAAATTTAAGTACACCATACTAGTAGACTACAATATCATGCTTTATGTATGGTTATTAGTATTAATTGGATGGTTGGTCTAAGTGATGAGCTGGTTGGTTCATTTGTTGAGGTGGTTGTCCCAACCACCCCCAGCCACCATAGGCAGGAATGTACATATACATGTACTCATGGTCATTATGAGTCATTACATTTAATCTGAAGTGTCAGTCAAAAGCCATTAAAGACTTGTGTCACTTTGAAGGCATGAGAAAGGAAACATAGTCAAGTCAATATTGAATTACTTTAAGACTCAATAAGCATTCAGCGAGGTACTTCTTGAGGTGGACGTCACTGGCGGGCACTAATTGGAGCGTCAGGTGGTTCAAGTGACGGAATTGATTTGTCTCTATTATATTGAAGCAAGCTAGAGCCTGTGGACTTGATGATATTAGCTGTAATATGAACCTAGAGAGAGGGAGAGAGAGGGAGAGAGAGGGAGAGAGAGGGAGGGAGAGGGAGAGAGAGGGAGGGAGAGGGGGAGAGAGAGAGAGAGAGAGAGGGAGAGGGGGAGGGGGAGAGAGGGAGAGAGAGAGAGAGTGAGAGAGAGAGAGAGGGGGAGAGAGAGGGAGAGAGAGAGGGGGGGGGAAGGAGAGAAAGAAGA